TATGGACCATGACTGGGAGGTCAAATACCATCGCGAGGATTGTGTTGAGTCTGGGGTAGTGCATTTTCCAGAGCTGTCTGACAGCCTGGGCCACAGAAATAGGAGAGTGACTGAGATGCTGAAGGGACTAGACACTAGGTCACAAAGAAGATCAAGGGGGAGGAATGGAGAAAACCTGGGAAGGCCCCGCCAGCTGCCTCAGAGAGTTGGAAGGGCCACCATGAGCAAAAGGACCGGACATGTTCCCTTTGCCTCGAAAGGAAGGAATGAAGAGAAGTGGGAAGATGCAGGCTTGGGGGAAGAAAAGCCTCCTCACAATCAGAGCTGGCTCTAAGCGGAAGGGAGGGCCAGCGGCACTCCAGAGCAGACCACCACAGTCTTCTCCAAGCCAAGGCTAGAGGAGATCTCAGCATGAGAGAAACCAATGGGACTGGATGAACTCTGAGGGGCCAGATAACTCAGATTCCAGGATTCCTTAATAAACAAACATCATATATACATATATATGAGGGCACTTTTAATAGCAATAGCTGCATTTGTATGCTGCTTTAAACATTAAACAAGGAGTGTTATACTGATTATCTCATGGGAAGAGAGGGAGAGAGGGAGACAGAGAGAGAGGGAGAAAGAAAGAGAGGGAGAGAGGGGGAAAGACAGACAGACAGACAGAAGGGAGTGGGTAGACAGACCAAATCTTTATTGAGCTATGTTCTAGGCTTTGTGCTAAGAACTGTGGATACAAATACAAACGATCCCTACCCACAAGGCACTTACTTGCCAGTGGAAGAAGACAATGCATAAATGGGTGGGGGGAGAGAAGATATGGTGAAGAAAAGGCCCCAAAGTGGCAAGGAGGCCTGGATTTGTGCAAGACAAGTCAGAAGCTCACCCATGAGACCGAGGACCTCCAGGGAAGGAGTCCAAAGTTCCAAGAGAAAGATCAGGAGGGAGGGAGATTGAGACCTTGGCAAGTGGTATGGGAAAGAGGGTCCAAAATAGGTATGGTGTCCTGGTCCCCAGCCAACTCAACTACCCTGAGAAGTAGGTATCATGAGTAGTATTGTTATTCACATTTTGCAGCTGGGAGAAACTGAGGCTCAGAAAGGTGAATAACTTTGCCCATAGTTACCGCTATTCATTGTCAGAGACAGGATCTGAACCCAGCTCTCTCTTGACTCCAAGTTCCCCTTCCCACTCTTCCCACTACATCATGCCTGGGTCTTCCAACTTTGTTACATACAACATGGGTAATCCAAGCCTCAGACAGACTGAATACCGGTTTACATAGTCATCAGCAGTGTTTCTCGGCATCTTTTTGTTTCAGCTGCTCTAACGCAGCGGCATGATTAAGGCCACACTCTACCTAGGAATACCTCAAGACTTCATGCCTGAAACAAAACAAAACAACGATTGTTATGAATAAATTTTGGTTCTTTAGGTCCCCAGCCGTCAGCACAATGCCTGGCACAGAGTGGATGCTTAATTAATGTTTGAGAATGTGGGGAAACAGGGGGCCCGAACTCAATACCTGGGTCTGTTGCTTAACAACCATTTACTTCTCTGGGCCTCAGTTTCCTCAATTGTAAAAAATAAAAATAGGGGGATTAGACCAGTTGACCGCTAGCCTCCTTTCTAGCTCTGTCTGTAATTCTATGAATTATTCTTATTTAGGGATCAGTCTTGAATATCACCATTCTTCTGACCTTTCCTATATAATCAGACCTTTGTATTTCAAAATCTAACCACAAGAAAATATTCATGTCAGCCAATGAAAAGTACTGAGGAACTGGGCAGCCTGAAGTTTAACTAATGAAATCCACAGTTGAAACGCAGACCACATAATGCTCCAAAGGTCCTCATCAGCCACCAGATGGCATTGAGTGCGAGGGTTTTCCCCTGACAGGGTCATCAGGCACACGGTCATTTGTTCTAAGCCTCCACAATAACCCAGGGAGAAGCCCGCGAGGGCTCCAGGAGCTCACAGCTGCCGCCGCCACATGTCCAAGTGGACAGAGAAGTTGGAAGTGACAAGATCTGACTTTTCCTGGGTTGGGGGCACGGGGCATTCTGGGGGATTGCATAATGAATCGATTAGCCGAGAAATAAAACAAAGCCGTTCTGTTGCAGGAAATCAGAAAGGAAGTCGGGTCGGAGGAGAATTAACCTCCTCTTGCATTCTAAATGAAGCCCCACGCTGGCCGTCAGGAAAGAGCGGGCTTGCACCACCTCGCGAGTCCGCCTAATAGAGGCTTCTCTCTTGCTCCTAATTCATTTTGAAAGCAGAAAAATATCAAAGAGGAGGGAAAAAAGCGTTCCTTCAATTTGGGCTTCAAGAAAAGTTATTGCTGAAGTCAACCAGGAAAAGAAAATTAGATGGAAAGTGTAGTTTGAATTATACTGTTTGAAAGGAAGAGGGAGGTTTTCAGCAGGATTCTGAGTCCCGTAGAAATCCAAAATACTGAATCATGTCATTGTTGAGGCATCCAGATTTGCCCTCTCGAGATCAAGGTATCCGAGGTCTTCCTTACTGCCACTGACTACCCTTGTGGCCTTGGGCAATCCGGCTTCTCTGGGCTCTGATTTCCTCAACTGTAAGATGAGGCGGTGAGATGAGGTAGGCTTCGAGGTCCTTTGAAGCTCTGGAGCTGGGGTCCACGATGCCCTCAGGGCCATAGAATCCCCACGGCGGAGCTAGACGGCCCCGAGGCTAATCGCATGTTACAGATGAGGACACTGAGCCGGAGCAGGCAGGCTACGTGACTTGTTCAGCGTTCTGCCGGTTGTCCCTAGCAGAGCTGAGATTTGAATTCAGGCTCTCTAATGACAAATTAGGCACTCCTTTATATGGAAATGAATTTCCCTCTGGCTCTACATCTATAGTACTGGAGGTGATGCAATGGAGAGAGCACCTGGAGGCGAGAAGACTTGAGTTCAAATCTAGCCTCAGACACTTACTAGCTGTGTGGCCCTAGGCAAGTCTGTTTGCCTCAGTTTCCTCATCTGTCAAATGAGCTAGAGAAGGAAATGGTAAACCACTCCATCATCTTTGCCAAGAATACCCTAAATAGGTCAACTGGAGTCAGACACAACTGAGCTGCAGAAGTAGATGCACGGTTATTCAGACTTGTGCTATCATTGATGTGGGTTAGTCCCGGCGTGGGAACTCCATCTACCTGTGCGGACCAGCCACTCCTCTATAACTGAGACCTTTAGTGCTGGCCCAGGGTCACCCTGGGGGCTGGAAGCCAGTTCCTCCTGACTCTGACACAAGCCTCTGCCCACTCGCCATGCTGCCTCTAGTCTGCAATTACGAATGTTAGAAAGTGAGAATGCGAGAAAGAAGCTGCTGGGGACCCTGCTCTGAGGCAGCGGCCACGGGGAGAGCTCCGCAGAAACAACAAACGGGCAAATAAGACCCTGGAGTATTTGGCGGCGGGCTGGAGGGCAAGATCCAGCGGCTGAAGCGGAGAGCCTCGCCCATCCTGGCTCTCAGCAACGCGGATATGTTTTCGGTTCCAGTGATTTCATTTCGGAAACTTTCTTCTTTTTTTAATTATGAACTTGACAAGCATAAGCAAATACAAGCATTTCCGTAAACAAAGAACAGAAAAAGAGGATTATACTTGAGACTTGGGATCTCAAGTGTGGATGGTTTGATTTTTAACGTGTACCTTCAGTTTAGCACAGTAGCCCTACAGTAGCTGCTACCCTGCTGGTCTGCATCCCCCTCTGTACACCTTTCTCTTCTCTTCTGTGTGTTTTTAAACGTTTTATTGAAGCCCCTCAAATATTATTGACTAGAAACTGAGAGCTCCTCTGAAAGGGTCATTCCTCAGCTTAAAATTGTCCAATAGCTCCTGAGGGTGTGTCACATGCAGTTCAGCTTCCACAGGTGACATTCAAGGCCCTCCATATTGTGCTCTCTCTTCCCTTCTTAGTTTTTGTATGATGATCCCTTGTATACATCCCATGCTTTCCCATTTACGTGTCTTACGCTATATGATCTTGGACAAGTAATTTAGCTTCTCCATACCTCAGTTTCCTCACCTGTAAAGGAGCCAGACTCAAAAACCTCTGAGGTCCCTACAATTCTAAATCTATTAGACTACGAACTCGGTGATTGTAAGGAGCTGTCCTACTGGAGCTCATGCAAGGGTAGCCACGAGTCCAACATTTGGACGCTGATGAGCCTGAAGGAAGCTAAGCCTGCCGTCTGGGCCTCTTCTAACTGACCCTACGACCACATCTCTTCCCTACCTCTTCCAACTCTCACAGAGGTCACCACAGGCTCGTGTTCTGGATCTGAGCTCTGGCTCTTGCCTCGGGTGCCTTAGATAAGAATCCTTGAATCTCCAGGAACTAGTGACCTATTGGGCAGGACCTACCCCCCTCCCTGGCCCCTCCCTGAGTGGGGATCTCTCAGCAGTCTCCTTTCGGAACTGCCGGGGACACAAAGCCACAGCCAGCAGCGGAGGCCACCCTAGGCCCAAGGCCACTGAAGGGCGGGAAGAGCAGCACTGAAAATCTTCCCTGATTTCACTCAGTTGGTCAGGACTCACCGATTCGGATCTCACACAGCATTTCTGTCCTTGAACCCCCGCACCCAGTGTGGTGCCAGGTACACAGAGATCGTTAATAAAAGTTTGTCTGTTGACTGATGGCGTATCATTGCATTCAGCGTGTGTCATATCCCTGCACACATCTCATCTCTTATGTGATAGTGTACGTGTGAGGGCGAGAATTCTGCCTTCTTTCATCATTTTATCCCTCCCCAGGACCCAGTCCAGGGCTCTGCACGCAGTAGAAACTTCATGTTTGTCAAAGAGGAGTTGAAGGTGACTTGGGGCAAGTCTTTAAAGATGAGTACTCAATGCTCTCTCTATTCAGTCAACAAGCACTCACTGGCCCCTTGTGTCCAACCTGGGCCCTGAGGATACAGTCCCTGCCTCGGGGAGCTTCCAGTCTATAGTGTATACACAGCCAGAACTCAAGCTACTTACTTTGCATCCCAGGCTTGACTCGACTTTATGCTCTTTCCTTTCCATTTTTTGTAGTTTTCTGAGAGATCGTGAGACACTGGAATGAAGGAGAAACAGAAAAACAGTAACTTGCATGTACACTTGAAGGTTTTGCTGAGCCCTTCCTCCCAACACATCTGTGAGCCAGGTAGTAAGGTTCTTATTATCCCTGTTTTACAGATGGGGAAACTGAGGTTCTGACGAGGTAAGTGATTCATCCAGGTCAAAGAGCCAGTCGGTGTCAGAAACAGAATCTTCTAGGGTCAAGATCAGGTTCAGTGCTCCTACATCAAGACTTGTAGGAATCTTTACTTAACTTCAAACTAAATTTTAGTTCCATTAATGAGTTCAGAATTGCTAAGTGTTCATATCTCAGCTTGATTTAATGCCTTCCACTAAATGTCGTTTAATATCTTTCATTAAGCAGCTTACTTGGCACTAAGGATCTGTGAACACACAGCCCAGTGCCCAGCATAAGAGCATTTAATAAGTGTTTGCTGATTGATGTCTATGTCAAATTCCATTACATTGTCAAGAGTTGGGGAGAGAGTTCGGTTCCAGGAACCACATTTTAGGAAGGGCATCGATAAACTGGACAGCATCCAGGAGAGGGTAGCCAGAATGGGGAAGAGCCCTGAATCCAGCCCTCAGAATCCCAGCGGAAAGAACTGGGGTTGTTTAGCCTAGAGAAAAGGAGGCTCGTGCATTACACCACAGCTGTCTCTAAGTATTGAAAGGTTGTCGGTGAGAGGGGGATTAGGTTTGTTTCACTCAGCCCCAGAGGGCAGAATCAGGAGGATTCAAAAAAGCAAATTGAGGCTTGCCCAATGATCAGAGTTACCCAAAAGTGCAAGGAGCTTACCTGAGAGGGGGTGGAGGTCTTAAAGCCAATGCTGGGTAACCACTCAACCAACATGTCATAAGGAAGTCGGGTGTGGGTTGAACTACATGACTTCTGAAGACCTTCCAACTCTAAAATTCTGAGGATCCTAAGACTTTCCCTATCCTGGAATTTATAATGTAACTTATTTATAGAACCCCAGAGCTTGGGATAAAAGGGACCCTCATAAGCCATCTAGTTCAACCTCCTCATTTTTAGGGTTGAGAAATCTGAGGCCCAACGAGGTTCAATACCATGCCCAAAATCATGCAGAGAGTAAGTATGGGAGGCAGGATTTGAACCCATGACTCCAAAGCCAATGTTCTTTCTGCAATGCCACATTGCCACCTGCTGCTCTTTTCATTAGCACAGGATTTGTTGAAATGGAATTTGGCATGCGATCAGTTTGAGTAAGGTCATATGAAGAGCAAATCAGAAATTACTCACAGAACGATAGTGACAAACTCTTTCACAACTGTTGAAATGGGGACATCCCTTCTCGGAGATGGGAGGAGTCTTGGGGACGATCCGCTCAGTGTCCCTTCTCAAAGAGGAATCCCTCACCGTTAGCCATTCACTCATTGTTTGGACACTTGGCAGAATGGGAAGCTCACTGCCTCAGGAGGCAGTGTTGACGCTGTTGGACAGCTCTGCTGGTAAGATCGTTCCTTCTAGTAAACCCCAGTCTGCCTCCCTAAATGCTTACCTGCTGGTCTTTGTTCTAACCTCTGCAGCAACATCCTCTTCTCTCCCACCTGGCAATCTTCCCAGAATTAAAGGCAGATAAGACCCATTAGCTTCTCCATAAGTACAAGGATGCTCATATGGTTTCCAGCACATTTATCTTCCTGGTTGCCCTAGTCTGGACTATCTCTACTATGTCAATATCTGCCCTTGAAATATGGTGCACAGACCTTTCTGATGGCATCTGGCATATGCTGAGGATGATGGAACTTGTGAGAATCAGAGGACATCTAATCCAACCCATATGTAGTCACAGTCAAAGGTTTAGAGCCGGAAGAAATCTTGGGAGCCACCTACTCCTGTCCACTCATTTTATAGAGGAAGAATTAGAACTTAGCAAAGTTAAGTCACTTACCCAAAGTCACACAGATAGGAAGTGGCAGAGCCGGGAACCCTCTTTTGCCTGTACCACACATCTAAACAAGAATCTCCTCTTCTTGTCTCAGATTAAGTGGTCAAGACCTCGAATGAAAGAAAGCCATCCAGTCCCAACTGTCTAACCCTCCAGTAAGGGAAGATCTGAGCTTGCTCTGAAGACTGACTCCTCATGGGCCAGTCCCCCCGTGACTTTATGCTTTACAAGTTTATGAGGAATGACATCAAGTTTACATGTTTGCACCCATCTTTTCTCCCTTTTGAAAAGAGAGACAATACTTGCCCGCCTCTCACTTTCGGTGACTTCTCTTGTTCTTCATGTTTTACTCATGGGAGTTTCATGATCACATTCTGCAAGTCCCTTTCAAAGCCCATGATACAATCCTCTAGGCCCTTGGACTCAAACCTGTTTAAAAGCACAATCCACCTAATTGCTATCTTTCCTTCCTCTTCCACTTTAAATCTCTCTTAAAGATGCTGGTTCTGTCTACCAGATTGAAGCCTTTTTCCCTTTCATAGAGAATATGAAAGTAAATTAGAAGCTGAGACTTATTTGACTGACTCCTCAAAGGGACCTGTTGGGTCTCAATAAGATCAGTATTGATCCACTCATGAAACTCCAAAACCAATGGGAAGCAGAGTGCTAGAGTGAGCAAAAGCCTGGATTTAGCCAAAGAATCTGAATCCAAACCCTAGTCCTTCTGCTTACTATTGATGTGACCTTGGGAAAGTCAGTCCCTCTCTGAGACTCCATTTCCTTACCTGTACATGGACCAGAGGATCTCTAAATTCCCTTCTAGCTCTGCTTTGCCATCTCATAAGTCATTGGCCAGTGAAATATCTAAGGTAGGGAATGAAGCCAAATGATGAGAGGTAATGTACACTGGAAAGAGTGCCAGGGCTGGAGCAGAAGTTGGAAAGAGACACATCGAAGTTGATTTGAAGGGGAAATTCCTAAAAATTATAGCAACTCAACAGCAGAATGGTTGGTCTTGGGAAGTAGTGGTTTTTGCCTTCCTTGGAGGTCTACATGCAAAGGGTAGCTGAATAGTTGTTCAATATGTCATAGAGGGCATTCTTGTTCAGGTGAGGACTTCTAGAGATGCGGATTAGTACACTGATCAGCATCAGGAGATAGAAGCTATGCCCACCCAGCATTGTTTCAACTGCACATTATGTCCCAGTCCCGAATGCATCCTCTCCCTCTCCCTCCACCCCCAGCTGCTGGGGTTTCTCTTGTTTACCCTGAAATGGAGGGGGAAACATCTGGGAACAAAAAACATTGCAATGTTCTCTGATATCCCTGGGATCCTCTAAGAATGCCTCGGAGCAAGAAATATAAAAATCCCTCCTTCTCTCCTTAGCACATTGGCCCATCTAGGGCACTTTCCCACTTGAGCTATCGCCTTTTAACCTTCAAGAGGCCAGGTAGCATTGTGAACACAAGCCAGCTTTGCAGTCAGGAAGGCCCGGGGTTTAGGGTTGGCCTCAGACTCCTACTGGCTGTGCAACCTGGGCAGGCTACTTACCCTCTCAGTGGCCTCAACAACCCACTAAGATTTTTAAATTACAGAGAAGTCCTCAAGCTGAATTGATATGGGAGGTTCCACATCAGATGTTCCAGCTGGTGCTTAGACCCAAAGGATGAAAGATTTAGAGCTGTCATCGTGTCCAACCACCTCTCTTTACAGATGGGGAAACTGAGGCCCAGAAGAATTTCAGAACTTGCCCAAGGTCACACAGGTAGGTAGGTAGCATAGACAGTCAAGTCCTGGCTCCAAATCCAGCTGCTTTTCCACCATACTCTGCCCCAACAAAAAGAAGCAATAACTTTTGACAGCCTGGTAAGGAAGGCAAGGTCCATATTATCCTCCCCATTGAAAAGATGAAAGGATGGAGACCCTGAACCTTAAGTAATTTGCCCTCAGGTCAGTCAGTTCTAGATGATAGAATTAGAAGCAGGCCTCAGTCCTTCACACTTGTGACCCAGCGCTTCACCTATTCCTTCCCACTGCCTTGTGGCTCTGCCGCCATTTTGATGACCCGTGGCCCCTGGTCTTGGGAGTAGGCTGAGAAAGCCAGGACTCCTAGGGTGAGGGCAAGCATCCCCAGGATGCCTGCAGGCTGTTTTGTCTGTCTTGATGACAGCAAAGGAACGGCAGGAAGCCTCCCCTGCATGTGACAGAACCCACGGCTCTCCGAGAATCCCTTCCCCTAAACATTTCCTTATGGGGTTCCAAGTCCTCCATCGTCAACACTCCGCTGCTCACAACCATATGCGTGACCAGATTCCCTGCCAAGCCCCTTGTTTGCTGTTATACCGTGATAGTTGGGGCATGGTTGGAGATATCCCATATTTACCGATATTTAAATCACTGACAGTAAGAGTAATAATAAATGACTTTTCTAGGCTGCTCTATGGTTTGTAAAGCGCTTCTCATATCCATCTCATGTTTGCTTGGGTGGCACAGGGGATAGAGCACTGCACTTGGCATCAGGAAGACCTGAGTTTAAATCTGGCCTTAGACACTTACTAGCTGTGTGACCCTGGCAACTCACTTTGCTGCCATCTGCCTCAGTTTCTTTACTTGTAAAATGGGAATGATAACAATGCCCACCTCCTCGGGGTCTTTGTGATGACCGAGTTGGACAATATTTGTGAAGTGTTTTGCAGACCTTAAAAGTGTTATCCAAATGCTAGCTATACATTCCTTATTATCCCCATTTTACAGATGAGAAAATTGAGATTCAGAGGTGAAGTGATTCACACGTGGTCACATAGCTCCTCAGCATCAGAGGCACGATTTGAAACCAATGAATGAATAAATGCATAAAGCACCAAGCAAGTATTTACCATATTCCAGACGTTAGGTATATACACATAAAGATATTCATATATAGCATATACACATACATACCCATATACATATATTTCATACAGCCAAATGTTTTCAGATGCAAACCATTTCAGATTTGACACTTCCAGGTAAAAACCCATGTGAATAAAATAAAAATCTGCTCTGATTCAGTAACCAAGCCCAGATTTATAAGCTTGGAAA